TGATAGAGTACTACCCTGTGTCTCCACAACTGTTGCAAAACCAAACATACCCCTACCATGTTCCCCTGTTGCAATCAAAAAGGGATCACATGCTCACCTCAACCGAAACTGGCACCTCACGTTGTAACAAGGCGCGTATTTCAGTCAAGTGCTCTTTCAGCAAGGCCCTAATTTGGTCGTCCTTTCTTTGCTTTGCTGAGAGAGCCCTTATTCCCATGCTCTTCTTTTTACGCGCCGTGGTCCCCATTCCAGAGGGTTTCTGATCCAGGTTTCCAGGAACCGTTAATTGCGCAGGATCCATTCTGGACGAACGACCTAAGAGGTGAGCACATCATTAAAACTTCATCGGCATGTGGTTTTTCCTTGAATTATCAACTTGAGCAGGGAGAAAATATAACCATCAACTCGTAGGTCATGATATATGGCATGACTCCAAGTTCTCATGACTGACGTTAAAAGAAATGTGTGAAATCAGAAGGGAGATTTGATATGTTTATCGCTTCCATGTGTAAAAGTCACTCGCGCAACTGAAAAAACATCTTTTGATTCTAGAAACAAATTACACGTTATCTACCTTTATTTTGATCAGTTCCTGACTGAGAGCTCTGCACGGGTGCCAGGTCGTTCTCAGCTTTTTCCAATGTGGACATAAGCTTCTCGTGGAGGGCCTGAGCACGAGACTCTATCACGTGACAGAGCCCGGCCTTGACTTGACCGACGACTGGGTTTGTCGAAAGATCAAGAGCCTTATTGTTAAAGGCATACAAGACACATGCTGCTCTGTGGAGACCTGACTGGGAGTCCGCTGGATCTTGGACAAATAAACAGTCGAGCTCTGGTTGAAACCATTGGACACACATCTCAAAGTCACTGGCTTTGGTAGACTTGTCTACGAGATCTAAGTAAATCAAACAGTAGTTGCGGTTGAAAAATGTTAGAATATGACGAAAGCAAGCATACAGGAGCCAATCGTCATCCAGTTAAGAATATAAAGGTTTCAGGACTTAAAGGACCAGTTGTTACATACCGCATGGTGAGGGGCGCTCACATGGTTTTCAGGAGAACGGAGAAGGGATCAATCATCACCGATCGAGTNGTGCATCATATGTTCCTAATTTCTGCTTACAATATCACCCCTGAATCACTCACTGAGATCACAAGAATAAAGGAAATGAGGGACTTGTTTCTACAAAGTCTCAGTTGTTATTGGTGTTTACATTCAAGATCGAGATAGAAATCGTTTTCAAAATATGAAAACCGTTGTATCTGTAACATAATTTCTGTGCCGTGAGAAACAAAACAAAATGTACTGGTTTTTCAATAAACCAAGACCAACTCGTCTATTCTTTTGATCCAGCTGTAGAATAACAAAGCGATCTTCGCATAGTGAACGCTTCTTGAGCAGTAGCGAAATGAGGCTTAAAAAAAATCCAGGCCTCTACTGCTCAAGTGGTGTTAAATACCGCGAAGATTGCTTTGATATTCATTTCTTAACCCGCAGTTCACATCAGTTCTATGATTTTCATTTATTCACAGTCATTTACGATAAGGCTTCAAGACCGCAATTTACCCCAGCATTAAAGAAACAGGGCCTTGATCGTAGAAAGTACAGATCTAACTTCTGCGTCATCAATTGTTTTCAGCGTACCGTTTCTCCAAGTCCAGCTCATTCAAAATTGCAGCATCTTCCAATGCTCTCATGCATGCAAACACAATGTTACCACTTGTAAGTGCATGATGCCGCTGACTGGCTATTTCCGCCAGTTCTAGTCGAGAGAGGCAAACCTGTTCCAGATCCACAGAAGACATACTTAAAGCTGTCAAAGAAAAGAAAAAGTATTTTGAGATGTATTCTGAATCTGAAATGAGGGGTAGGGGGTAGGGGGGGAACGAGGCACCCGTTACGGGAATAAACCAAAAGAAAGCATGGTGGTCGAGAATAGAGAACACTTAGACAAAGTGCACACAACAAAATTTAAGCACTGACTTCGCTGAAATTTTTCAAGTTGTAGAAACTGCATTGGACCACCATTACCCCTACACTATCAGAAGTGACCAATGAGTATTTTCTCCTTACAATGTCAATATAGTGTCGAGTAGAGACGTATTGAGAAGATAGATAATCATCGGGCAAAGAAAATTGTTTGATGTAATACTAAATTC